AGGTCTCTCAGAAGCACAGGAGAAAAAAAAAATTGTTAGGTATTTTTTTTTTATTGGATATCAGATCAAGTTAGCATTCTCCCCTTTGCTCACATACTAATGCCCTAAAGATATCATAACTCCCTTTGAAATGATAAAGTAAGGATGCAACAGTATGTTGCATTTGGGATTTTTCTGTTTTGTTGAGGGGAGGAATTATAATTTTATCTAATTTAAAAGTCTGTGGTTTTTTACTTTTATTAAGCTAATACTATAATTCTTATTACATATATATATATATAAAACAATGGAATTATCCAATAATACAATTATTGTCAACAGCATCTGTGTAAACTGAAAAATATTTCCAGCTACCTTAGCAGTTATTCAATGGCACTAAACATAATACAGAGCTTTAGGGGTTTATAATAAAGTTTCAGAACGGTAAAAGCTCAGTCACTTTTCCATCAGACTGTAGACTTTCTCAGAGAAGAACATTCTACCTCCCTCCCACATTGATTTGTGATATTATAAAATATTGTGCTATCACAAACTAATACAAAGTACCAACTATAAGCAGAAGCAATACATGCATTTTACACTTGTATTGCTTAGAATGACATCCTGATGTTATCATTTAGCTCATCATGACATTCCATCAATCAAAACCCAGTTTTCATTATACACCATTCTGCTTTTTCTCTCAAAGCGAACACAGAAGACAAGCAATGATCTATTTCAATTAAAATACATACTTTATAGAATTAAAAATAGGTTGGAAATCAGTTTTAAATCAGCTATCAGCCTGTCAATTAATGTTCTGAACCCCTGCTATTGACCCAGTACTGTACAAGCTGTTATTATGCACTGTCCTACATATCATCTGTTCCCCACGCTGGTCTGTTCCAGAAAGACAGACAGCTGCAACAGTATATCCCTGTTCAACCTGAGGACCATCTGACTTTAATTGTAGCACACAGCTTGATGTGGGTCTGGTTATGAGAAGCCAAAGTATCACACTGTAATAATCTGGAAAAGCAGAAACCTGCCAACACAAGGCTGCAAACAGGGGCTTGGGCTGTCTGGCTGGCTGACGGGCTGCAGGAAATATGATTAATGAGCAAGGTATAATGATATCAGGAACCCGATTAGCACCACAAAAAGGTCACAGATCAAAGTAGTATGCATTTCATGAGCTCCAATCATTGTATAGGATCTGTGGACTTAAAGAGGTAAACTGGAATGCAAAGGGAAAAAAAATCTATCTGCGATAACTTACAAAATGAGCACTTGAAATAGTATAATCACTATTTTGTCTGAACCAGGAAGCAGCAAGGAAATATTAACTGAATGAATCAGCTCATGCCACATTGTAGCAAACTTTTTTTGATAGTATTTGTGAGGAACTGAGCTTTAAGCATTCTTCCTAAACACACCCATTCTACTTAAAAATTAAACGATGCTGATTTGATGCTTATGGTATCCAATCCACTAAATATTAACAAGAGAAAGCAATTTAATATTTGCATGTAATTTTCTCAGTTTTATTCCACTGCAAAAATGGCAGATTACAGAGGGCATCATCCATACCAGCACTAACAGGGCCACCACCACCACGATAAGGTTAACTATGTCACACAGAAGCAGTTAACACAATTCATTGGCACAGAGGTTTAAATTTAATGATACCAGACTGACCAAAACTTGATATCTGAATTATAGCAACAGCATCAGGGACCTACAGTGTCACCAAAAGGGATGATGTCTGACACACTTTAATATACCGTCACTTGGTAAATTATTTCTTACTTTCATAATTAACTTAAGCCTTAAAAAAATTTCTGTTCTGTCCAATTATGTGATACTTGAAAATTGCATGTTCCCATAAAAGTCCTTTCTTTTGAAAAACTCTAATTTACAGCAACTTTTGCACGTTCTTTCCACAAGCCATTTGGCAAGCGGTACTGCAAGGTCTACTTTCACAGCAGAAGTTATGAAGCCAAGCAGATTACTAGTGAAGTCTTTTTGATTAAAATAGTTTCAAAAGTCATGATCATTAATGAATAATTACTTGGGGAAAAAACAGTATATGAGAAAGAAACATTCATTATATTTAGATAATGAATATGATATTTCAGTTTCATAAGAAATGCTGAGTGAAATTAAGGAAACGACAAAGTAATTTTAATCTGCATTCAAATATGAAGGTAACATACTGCTGTTTTCAGATTACTTTTTCTTGAAATGAAAGTTTTGGATATGTAACAAGCACTTCCCTCATTCTAGAGCGTTCTGAACTGCTTTTTTTCAGGATTTAACAAAATAAAGATGCGCTTATTGTAGATTGTACATAAAAAGAAAAAAAAATACATTTGGAATACAGAATGAGATCATTACTCTCTAAGAGAAGACTTTAAAGGGATTTTACATTTTGTGCCCAAGAGTTTAACAGTAATAATCGAAAAGCAGCCG